TATATATATGTATATTCGTTTTGTGTTATCAGTCTATTCTTCTTAATAAATTTCCGATTGTTGCGCTTACAATATGATTTATTTTTAAATTCTTACATATAATTGGTTCAGACCGGTAACTTTCGAAATTCTTGTAAATGATATATATATATTTATATATAACACAAAACGAAACTTACAGGATTATTAAACGCCTTTGCGATATCGTTCAGTATTGTAGCCTTCTCGCTTTGTTCAAAGCATTTCACAGTAGTTGGCGGTCTGGCAGACATCGCGTTACATATGTCAAATAGAGTTGTGTATTCACAGGCAACAGGTATCTGAATTTGTTGATCGAAACAGTTGCCCCACACATAAATAAGTTTTTCTTCGCTTATAGCACAACTCATATTTTTCATGGCAGCAACATCCAACATTTTCATTGGTGCAGGCGTTATCATAATCTGTTAATTCCAAAATTTTCTATTTCATTTTCTGTTTTACATTTCTATTCTTACAGTAATTATAATAATAAATCATTTACCATTTGAGGATCATGAATATCATTTCTAGAATTACAACCCAATTGTCCATGAGAGTTTCCACCCCAGATGAAAATATTTCCTTCTGTAGATAATGCAAGTACATGTGTATAACCACAAGTTATTTTTGCTAAAATTTCAACATAGATTAGTCTCAACACTGTATACAAATCTTTCACTTCCTTCATAAATCATTAGAAATGGACTTTTAAAATAAAGAAATTACTCATGCGAATGATTTTATTTTTAACTTCAAGTGGTTCGCTTATAAATTCATCCCTGCACGTAGAAACACCTAATTGACCATGATGATTTCTTCCCCAGGTGTACATCTTTTTGTTTTCAGTAAGCACTATGAAGAAACTGTCACCACAGCAAACAGACTCGATCTTTTTTTGGAAATACATGCGTTTCATCCAACTTATGCCATCAAAGTAGAAGATTTGGAAATAGAATACCTTGGAAATAAATTAAATAACTTTTAATATTTAAAACTAAATATTATTATCGTAATAATTCGGTCGTCAGCTTACCTTTTGATCATCAGTTAAAATGATAAAAGTGCGATTACCACCAACTGCACTTTGTACAATACGTGAATATCTCAAATCAACTATCTGAGAATAATATTCTATATTAAAATTAACCCATGGAACCTCGTACCAGCAATACACCTTTCAAAAATAAGATTGTTATATTAATTTTTATAATTAATATATTTTATACATAAAATATACCATAAAGGATAAACTGATGCACTTATATATTATATATTCATATTAATTCTTCCAAAATTTTTGCAAATTCTAAAATTATCAGATACGTTGGTAACAATTATAATTTCTCCTTACATTTATGTATGGAAATTACACAAAACGTAATTTTACAAAAAAAAGTATCACAACATATCATAAATTATATATAAAATATATCAAATCCATTATTTATGATATTACTAAAGTAAATATAGAGAATGTCATAATCTTTACTATTAAATATCGAAACATTTTTATGAGAATAAAATTCATTTGAATCCTAAAGTAATTTTTCTTTTATTTTCAAATGTGCTCTATTAATTATTAAGAAATAAAAATAATTTTTCTATATAGGCTATGTATGTTCATAATATGACTTTTAAATATTAAGAGCATTAAATTTAATGAAAAATTAGTAATATATTATTAATATATATAATTAAGTGTTAAATATTTTTAATATACCTGGTGAAAAAATTTTATGGAAATTATACCATGTTTTGAAACATTTCAGCGAAATTGATGAAAATTTGCTGAAATTTCACTGAAAGTGAATTTTTCAGTCAACATACTAAAACATCGCTGAAATTGAATTGAAATTTCTCTGAAAATTTATTGAAATTTCTTTGAATTTTTGATTGAAATTTTTCTAAAATTTTTTCTGAAAATTAATTTTTCAGCTAAAAATTGCTGAAATTAGACTAAAATTTTTCTGACATGCTAAAATTTTGTTGAAAAATGTTTCAAAACATGAAATAATTTCAGCGAAATTTTTTCTTCAGAGATATTAATTGTGAGATATACTTCTCCATCCTCTGTCAGCAAAATAACAGCAAGATCACAATCAATAAGTAACATCTTAATTTTTTTCTGGAACATGTAATCTACTTTTCTTGAATGTTCAGGATAATATATTTCACCTTTCCTCAGTTCGTGTATGTATGTGCTGCACGAACGCTCCGCGAGCCTTTATTAAAAAATAATACAATATTATATATATGAATATAAATAAATAATCGTAGTAAGATTCCTTCTAATAACATCAAATAATAGTACTAAAATTGATAAATGGCATTTAGGAATCCGCGCTGTAATCATTGCGCTTAAATTACTGGACAAACTTCCGTATATTTGAAAGTATTTCACAAATTTGAATACAAGTACGTTTCGACTAAATTCTAACCATCTTCAGCTTAACATCGTTAACAATAGAAACATTTACACACGTGGTATCCCTGGTTATCTCCCAGTTATTATCCATGACCAGTTAATAAGCTGGACGGTATCATGTGGATTAACTGGTCATGGATAATAAGGGAAATAACTAGGAATACTACGTGTGTAGATGTTTCTATTGTTAAGCTGAAGATGGCTAGAATTTAGCCGAAATGTACTTGTACTCAAATTTGTGAAATACTTTCAAATATACGAAGGTTCGTCCAATAATTTAAGCGCAACGATTACAGCGCAGATTTCTAAATGCCCTTTATAAATTTTAGTATTATATATATGTATATCAAGTATAATAATAAGAAAAATAGTAAGTAATCAGAAAAATAATTCATTCATCTTGCTTCACGTGAAAAGCAACAATTGTCAGAATCCTATTTTACCTAAAAGTTGCAAATTTATTTAATACGCGTTCAGTAGAGAAAAAAAACTGTAAGCGCTCAACATTAAAGTGAGCATTTAATAATTTTTAATAACTCTTAATAATTCTTAATAATTCTTAAAGTATATGCGTGTCTGTGAGGTGGAGTTAATGTCGAAAACGACAAAAAATTTTTTTTTTTAATTTCAATTTCGAAATTTTTTGTTATACGTATTAATACGTATTAATAATATAACACATATTAATGTGTATACTTTGAGCTTGAAAAAGGATTTTCGAATGTGTAAAAGAGGAAAAAAAGTCCTTGCAAAGCACGTAATTTCATTTTAGGAGAAATGTTTTTTTCTATGCTTTAAATCTTAGGTCTGTTCGCGTTGCTTGCACTTTTTGCACTTAGCATCTTCGTTCTCTCTTTTTACAACTCCCGAATATATATTTATCCCGTTTTAAATGTAAACAATTTTGAGAATTTTAAGCAACGTGAACGAACCTCTTAATTTCACAAATTGACAGTATGTTCGTTCAAGTAATCTAAATCTCCCGCCTCACGCTTATTTTTAATCTACAAGCTGTAAAACTTTTATATCAAGCGAATGTTAATCTATCAGGTGACAGTTATATGTGTCAAAAAAAGTGAATTTTAAAATTTTTTTCCGATTATCTCGTGAAATCGTGTAATAGATTTCCGAGATTTTTGTTATGTGTTCTTTAATTCTATAAAAAAATTTGGCAATCCGTGAAGCCAATTTGGAGATTTCTCCTAAAGCGTAATAATTTATAGTAAAACAGGACTGCTTTAGGATCCCTTTAATATAATTGGTTTCTACACTGATCGGTATTCATTGTCGATTCTTATATTTAAGATGGTTCTTTAGTAAATCGAGTTATCATAGAAATGTCTAATTTTGGGTGGATCCTGATAAGGTGCCCCAAATTTTCGTACTTTACTGAAGAACTATCTTACGATCGTCTTAAGTACAGTCTTAAGATGTCATGAACCAATCGAAGAATCGCGTCAACATCTTAAGATATTACTTAAAACTAAGTACAATCTTAAGATGTCGTAAGTCAATCCGACAGATGTCGACAACTTAAGATATCGTAAGTCAATCTGAGAAATGTATTAGATTTTAAGACTTATTTAAGACGGTTTTAAAATAACGGACGACTATAAATACCATCCTATATTTAGCGTTTCACAATTAATAGCTTCCTCCTTATGAATAGTCCATAGACGGAGAGGGTAGAAATTTAGAAAGAGACATTAGCTACGTTCAACGAACTCAACAGTTGAGCGAACGGTTGCTGCTATTGATATATTCTTCTAGATCTAAAATGCTGATTGGATGATCTAAAAGAATACACCAATAATAGCGAACGTTCACTCAACTGTTGAGTCCGCTGAACGCAGCCATTAGGTGCATCCAGAAGCACAACTGCTTACTGAACGCTCAATGAGCTCTTTGATTGGCATATTCCATTAGATCTAAAAATGTAGACTAAACAGATAAAAGAGCTCATTGAGTTCTCAGTGAGTTCTTGTATCTGTTTGGTCTTTATTTTTCGATCTAATGGAATATGCCAATCAGTTGAAAGAGTTCACCAAGCAGTAAGCGGTCGTGCTTCTGATTGGATGCACCCACTGTCCAACTGCACACATCGTGTTATCCCTTCCACTATACTATGCAAGTTGTTAGAAATATCCTAATGGCTCTGTACACTGGACTGTATTGAGATTCTCGCCTCAGTGCCACTCAGGTATCACTCTATTCTTGCAATGTTGTTTACCGAATGTTAAGGTGCTATTTCATGCAGCAAAGCTTCGCCAGCGAAGCTATCCCCACTATTGCTCCGCGAATAAAAAAGTGTTTTGGAAGTTTTGAATTTGAACAAAAAAGTTTTTATGCATAAATATACAGGATGTCCCAGAATGATAGTCAAATATTTCGTGTACTAATAGAGCGACCTAAACTGAGTCTAAAAGTCCTCTATTATTTTAAATATTAAGGTTATCTTTTATTTATTTTTTAATGGAGTAAGGCAGTCTAACAAGTAAAGTCGAAATCGTTTTTAAATATTATTATTATATTTCTTATATATTATTTTTTAACTATTTGACACTCTAATAAACCATTTTATATTTTTTACCTAATTTTTTGTTCATAAATTGACCTTTCTATTACTATTATATTTTCCTCTACTATTTTGCAATTTTCTTAATAATTAGAAGGATATTAGTTACTAAAAATCGCCGAATATTAGTTTTCAAAGATTTTTTACTCAAGTACTGTCAACTTTTAGAAAAACAGCAAGCGACAAAAATTGTTTATTTTCTTCTCATAAAGTTTTCAGAATTTTTTCAGAATTTTTTAATACAGCATTTTCTTATATTATGTCGTTAAAATTAGTTGCCAGTAAGAAAATGCAGTACTGAAAAGTTAATAAAAAATTCTGAAAAAATTCTTAGAGATCTATGAGAAAAAGATAAACAATTTTTGTCTTTTGCTGTTGTTTTGTAAAGTTAATAGTACTTGATTAAAAAATTATTGAAGACTAATATTTGGCGATTTTTAGTAATTAATATATTAACTATTCCGAAAATTGCAAATAAAATGATACAGAACTTTTTGAATCAATTTAATCCGCTCTATCAGCACACAAAATATTTGGCAGTCATTCTGGAACACCCTCCTGTATATAAATATGTTTAAACACACACATATATGTAATAAATGCTCATAAACATATTATATAATTATATATGAAATATGTTTATATATGTTCGTACATCCTTCTTTCTTTTATAAAATTACTGTTTAATGTAAGAAAAATAATAATGACAAAATGTCAAAAATAATTAAAGAAACAATTTTCGCGTTGCTTGTTTTAGAAAAAAATCAAGTCTAGAGAAATGTAAAAAAAAATTATTCTTACATAATTATACATAATTTTACATGTAATTAAAATATATATCAGTATTTTTTTTACATATATTTGTCCAAACTTGATTTCTTCTAAAACAAAAATTCTAATTTGAAAATTGTCCTTTTAATTATTCTTCGTGTTTTTTATTATTATTATTTATTTTGTTATA